TTTTGAGAAATGCACTAACTTCTGTGCAAATGTTAATGGTGTTCTGAGAAACGCACGAAAGCGACTGAGAAAAACTGTACTGTATTTCCCCAGTTGCACAATGCTGTGAACAATTTCAATTAAATATTATCAAGAGTGCATATGAAGTGTCTCGATTTTCCTCCACAATTTATGGTTTTCAACACGCCATGCATGCTGTCCAGACTTGACATGTCACTGGGAAGCACCTACAAAGAAATCCATCACCATGAGAACATGTTCAAACCATTTGATTTTGTGACCAAAGGTGCTGGTGTAATGACTTGTAACTGTGACAGCCCTGACACTTTGATTGATATAAGTACTTGCTTTTGATGAATATATCTGTTTTGATTAAGGGACTTGCTTTTGAAGCATTCACTATTTATTTTGAGCAACTGACTTTTCTTTTTGACGAAGTGACTCACTTTTGCAAGTTATGCGCCATGTTTTGCAGTTTGCACTAATTGTTTTGAGAAGAGCCTTAGTAGTGGTGCAGAGATCAATTCTGTTGTGAGAAACGCACCAAAGCAACTGAGAAAAACTGTCATTTCAGGCCTGTTTAACAAATGGGTTTTCTCCCTTATTTTAGCCTCCAGCGGCTATCGAGAGGATTTGGATTTGAAGTAGCTGCAGAAGAGATGCTTCCTCTCTACCAACAGATCTTCCAAATAATCCAGTTCTGACAAAACAAAGATTCTGTGCAAGTTTACCAAGTCAGTTCTCAACACTTCGTCTGTGATCTTCAGAGGCCTGTTCAACATTTCCATGTGTGTGAACATTTGACAGCCTTTGATGAAGTCTTGGTTTCTCGTAATCTTCACTTCCATCTCATTTTTCTTGTTGCTCTGATTCTTCCAGACTGATTCAATCAAACACAAAATAACAGGTCACTACGGACTCATAATATCCAAGATATCTACATAATCTGGCTTGACTGATCCCGACAAAGTCAGTTGTAAGAATTCCTGTCATGATGATGGTTTGCAGGAATTTGCAAATCATATGCATTGAAATCCCAAAGTAACGTGAATCTTTCACATTTTAAACTGTCTCTGCACGCAGTTGGACAGAACAAGGTGACATCCATCGCTACGGAAATCAATGAATGGGGGAAGTCCGCCACACATAACTGAAGAAGAAGCAAATACATCTTTTTCTAAAATTAATTGCTTTTGTACCTCAATCTGCTAATTTCTCTAAGAAAAGCAAAAATTTAAATAGTCCAAAGTAAATGAGCACCATTTCTGAGCCAACGCCATCATTTGTAGTTTTTTTCTGTTGCAGCTCTGTTGTCCTTTAAAACAAAATGGTGCTAAGCCGGCCCAGTGTCTCTCTACAAAAATCAAGTGCTGTGATTGGCCCGACCTAAACTTAGCCGAACCAATTGGATGTTGCCTTGCTAGACCGACCTTTTGCTCTGCTGTATAGATTTCTAGTCCTGCACGTTGAAATGCTTTAAAAAGTCCCAAGGTGCATGTGGAATTGTAAAGGTCATTGCATTAGCTTCAATATTTTCAGTGGGACAAAAGCTCTACTTTCCCTCTGGGATTAATAAAGTATCTTAGATTTGATTGATTGATGGGTCCTCTTATATTTCTCCTTAAAAAGTCTGATTAGTCATTTTGTTTTGACATAGTGACTACCTGTCCACTCTAATGATTTTTTTTCATTAATCAAGAATTAGTTGATTTATTTTCTCAAGCTCTCCTTTGTTCAGCATGTGCCATAAGAACCAGTTTTGTAACTATTGAAACTATTTCCTGCTTTGTGATCAGTGTGAAACAAAAGATCTGAGATCAGAACTAGTCTTTCGTTTTGATGCAGTGAAATATTTTTAATAAAAGTTTTATTAAACACTTTGTCCCAGACTGGAACTTACAATCATGAGGCCAACGCCTGCTGCTGCTGCCCAACCAAGAACAGTGATCCAGCTTCCTCCCTCGTCCTGGTCCAGGGGCCGGCATCCTGTTCCCATCAAAGAGCCATTATTACCCGTTTCCCACAGTAAAGAAAACACTGGGAGCCACAGCAGCCGCAGCGTTGTGGGCGGGGCCTACCCTCAGACAGCAGAGAGCTGCTTTAACCAATCAGAACAGGTGACAGCAGCCAGTACCGGTTGCTCGTGTACGTCAAAGTTATCTTTCATAAGAAGATAATCAATAAAATGACTTGTATAAAGTGGATCCAGAAGTTGTAGCCCATCTCTGCCTACAATAGTTTGATATTTTTCACCCTGTTGGTGGTTTTACTGAGCAGGTGCCACTTTTGTCATACGTTTCTTTTTAAAACATGTTTAGACTGTTCAGAATACAAATGCAGGCTCTGTCACGTTTGATTGTTGTAATTAAACTTTGTAGGTGGGGAAGGTCAGAAAAGCATCCATCAGTTTGTTTTTCCCTCATTTACAGTGACGGAGATAACGGCGCAGTGCACCTGGCTCTGGTGTTAATCAAGTTAAATTATATCTCTTTGCAACAATTTTCACAAGAAAACAGAACAGTTAAAAGCAGGGCTTGTGCTGACCGGACAGTTCCCGTATTTGACCGTTTATTTTGACGGAGAAAGAATTACCCCGACACATGCAGACGAACTGACACTTTATTCTACGCAAATCGCAGATGTAGCTAAATCACTCAAGAAAAGATTCCCATCTGAACATCTGAGCTGGACACTGAGCTCAGCGCAGCTCACTGTCAGCGTGTACTACATAAGGTGCACAGCGAGCTGAAGATGTGGAGAGGGGCTTGGAGCACGTCGCAGAACCAGAGCGCATGCAGGAAGATTCCTCCGACTGAAGCGAGACTTGTCACTTAGAAAATGTTCCCTGTGTAACGTGAGGAAATATGGGTTTTCTGTCACAAAGGTGGTGTTGGACTCAGCTGGGTCAAAGCTGGGTCGTTGAGAACTTTCACCCACAGATTAAGACCTGAACGCCAGCGAGTCTGGGAGGAAACCATAACATCTGCCACCTGCAGCTTCGTGCCAGAAGATGTTGTTCCCACAGAAGATGTTGTTCCCATAAAAGTAGTCATAACAAGTCTTAAAACTTTGTTTCTTGATTTTAATGTTAGAATAACCATTATCATTTTGCTCATTATAAATGTGTTTTAATCAAATGAATGATTCTTATGCTTTGGGTAATTATAATGGATTAATGAATCCATTCTTAAATAATGTTTGAGGATGTTTGTTGGCGACCTTCACAAACACTCAAAAACACACCCACACACAGATTCTCACAGTAAACTCCAAAACACATTTGCTTTGAGAAGAGAAAGGTTTTTGGTAAGTTTCAGTCTTGATTTCAGTTCGTGCTTGACAACAAAAGAGAGAGGACCTGAATAAACGCTAAAAGGGGGGAGCCGGTTGGCTCGTTTCTCCCCCCCTCTCACGCTGTTCCTGTCAGCCAGACAGGACAGCTGAATCGCAACTTTTAACGCAGACTCATACAGAGTCTTTGATTTCTGAGTGAACTAAACTTAACAAGCGCATCGCCAAAACGCTTTACCATCAACGTGTACCGAGGGCAACTCTGGACCGGTTCCGTTCGACACCTACGTCTCCCCTGTCAGCCGTTGGTGTCACCTGGATGAACCATCACCATCCTCCACGGCCCGGATCCGAAAGAGGGTCCACAAGAGTTCGGTGAGACAGAACACGGTGTTTAGCGTTTGATGCAGTTCTCTGATAAGACCTAAGTTTATCCAAACCATCACTTCACTCAGACACCTGTTTCTTCCTGAAGCAAAATCAGACTCACACACGCATTCATATCACAACATTCTCAATCTTCATAAATTCTCCACAAGGTTTATTTGATCATATCAACTGTTAAAGATTGTCCCACAAGTTGCCAATGTTGATTGTTATTTCCTGTTTGTCAATTTCAAAATCATTAGTTTAATTTGAAGAATTAAAACTTTTAATTGTCAAACTGGTTTCCTCATTGAACTGAAACACAGACACACAGATATTATCGTCAGTTTATTGATGAAAACAACCTTTGAGTCTTCTTAACAATATAAAATTTGGTTATTGATTTATTAAAAATTAATATTCCGAATTAATACGTAGCATGGTTCCTCTTTCATAAAAGAGCGTAAGACCACAACGCTACAATATGGCTGAGCCAAGCCAGTTTCTCCTACACCTGATTATGAAACTTTGGCTGAATAGCGCTTGTTCCTGTCTCCAATGTGGCGACACATCCAGGAGCCGTCTGAGGAGAATCCCAGAATCTCACATCCTCTTCAGCTCAGAAAGCACCTATGATTACGCACAAGCGTGACGCGTCAACCCGGTCTCACAGTAAGACCGGGTTGGAACTGTTCAGGTTTACGCAGACAATCTTTACATTTAGAATTGGCATACAGATGTAAAATTTATGCAGTAAAATATAAAGCATTTTATTTAAATATCCATTCATTATTTTACAAGCACAGAGAGCCACATCAGATGGATGGAAGAGCCACATGCGGCTCCAGAGCCGCTGGTTGCCGACCCCCGTCCTGGTCAGAGTTGTTGTTGTCGCTCATGTTTGTTCTAAAGAGATGTGCATTTCTCAAAGGGACAAAGAACTCAAAAGAAAATAATCTTAAAGATTGTTTGATTGATAAAATAAAACAGGTTGCTTACTTTATCTGGATGTTGCTGTCCTGAGCTTCTTCCAGAAAAGAATTTGAAACCAAACATGCCTGATCCTCCTGTTTAAACCAGTGTCCTAACCACTCCTGCCATACTGAACACAAACATATGACAGGTGAAAGTGATTGCACAAGTTCCACCAGTCATCTATAACGGTAAATAGAACTTATACCCAAACACAAATCTGCTGTTAACTAGAATCTGCATAATTTCACCAAGTTTTAATTGTTAAAATATTCTGGAAACCAAGATTCAAATTGACACCAAAAGTTACAATTATACATTTAATTTTTATTCTATCATTGCGCTACAGAGACAGAGAATCCAACGCGATCAAAGATTAAATAAAATCTTTTTATTTCTCAGGAACTCAGGTGAAATCAAGGTGCTGATGCTCAAAGTTCTCACAGGCGTGTGTGATGAAGGATCACTTCAGTTTCCAGATGAATCTGTGACATGGCTGAAGAGCTGTCGTCGTCATGTTTCTGGTTTCCTCTGAGCTTCAGAGGCCAAGGTGAAACTCAAGAGAGGTCAAACGAGATGCAGCTCAGCCCAAAACATAAAGTTCAGTTCAATGTTTGTCTCAATCTCTCAATCATTTCAGATTAAATGTTCATAATAACATAAAAACTAATCACAAAACAGCAGCTGCCAGGATGCTGATCAGGATTGAGCTGATGATGAAGATGAAGAGGTGGTGGAGGAGCAACCTAAGTATTTCTGTAGAAACTGATTCAGACTGAAAACTGTCCCCCAGCCAACAGCTGGGCTCATGCTGATGAAGTCATCCAGGTTCATCTGACACCCTGAAGAGGAAATGCACCAAAAGTACAAAATCACCTTTTCCTAAGACAGGAATCAGAAAACATGCTCCACATTAACTTGATTTGTTACCAGTGGTCTTTAAAGGGGGGTAAGAGGGAGGGGGCTTCTTCCAGCTCCCATCAGGGTTCTTCATGTGAGTTCGATCAGACGCAAAGTTCAAGAGGAAGCTCTCAGCAGGAATCACACGCAACTTCCTGTCACAGATATGAGAAGGTGTTGGTGATTTCACTCCAGTGCATTACCTGTGTAATTCAGCAGTGCTACCTGTGATATTCAGGTTTGATGTGGTGGTCTGAGCGGAGGGCCTGGCTGCCATAAAGCCTCAGATTGCATGGGAATGACAGCTCTGTGTCCAGATCATAAACCAGAACCTCCGACTGAGGATCCACATGAAGCAGGATCACATGGTAGTCCTAAAACACCCAAAAAAACATGATTAACAATGTATTATTTTAATGCTCTGAGGCCACTTTAACAGGAAGGAGAATCATAGACCCAGATCACTGGATGGTCAGCGTGTCCAGACTTCTGCTTCCACAGAGGAACCTGAAGGAGAACAAATAACATCACCGATCAGCAGCAGCAGCAGAAGTCAGATCTTAGTGAAAATGTTGATTCTTTATACAAACTTGGCAAATTTAAGGGGATTCGTGATGATTTGTTAAACTTTAGACCTGTTGAGACTAAATCTGTTGAGTTAAATATGTTTAAAGGGTTTTGTAACACATGACAAACTTCTCAGAGCTGATCTTCTCACCATTCTGTTGTCATTAGAGATGAAAACCACAAAGAGCTGTTCCAGTGGAGCAGTCCTCGCTGTTTGAACAAACTCACACAACTTCCACACATTCTCCTCACTGCAAAGCAAATTAAGACATCACTAATCAAACAGCAAAAATAATCTAATAATAATAAAATCATATCCATAAGAATGTAGCAGCTACCATTTAAGCCAACTGCGTTTTGCTACAAAATTTGATGAATAATTATGTAAAACCCAACAAACTGGAGTTTTTTTAATCATGATGTAACAGAATGGATTTACCAGTAACAGCTGGTGTAAACACAGAACTCACGACTCGGTGTGATTCGATCCTTTACTGCCTTCATGGTTCGGTGTTACACCGAAACCGCTCCGACGGTGTCACTTCGAAATGTGTCCCCATGGTTGAAAACTCTTGTCACATCAACTTCATTATAAAGAAAATTGTTTGTTTTTTGCTACAAAATTTGACGAATAATTATGTAAAACCCAACAAACTGAAGTTTTTTTCATGATGTAACAGAATGGATTTACCAGTAACAGAACTCGCGGTTCGGTGTTACACCGAAACCGCTCCGACGGTGTCACTTCGAAATGTGTCCCCATGGTTGAAAACTCTTGTCACACCAACTTCATTATAAAGAAAATTGTTTGTAGTAAATATTCTAAGAACATTTTGCAGACCCTGGTACCCGAATATTTTCGTTAAACATAGTTCCCGCTTGTGTTCAGCACAACTGATACATAAAGAAAGCTGATATTCTTAGAGATTTTATTCTTAAGAGAGGCCTTTAACCTGGTTAAACAACAGATACAACAAATATTCCCAGGCCTGCGCAGTCGTGCATTTACATGGTTATTACAAATACTTTTACTATTAGAAACAAGCTTTGTACAAAATACCCAAAAACTTGGTTCAAGTTAAAAATATCCATAATGATGAAATTTGAAGCACAAATACTTTATATTTGGGATAGTCCTAATTTCTGCCTCTGGCAACAAAACAAACAAACAAAAAAAAACCTTTAGAGCTGTAATTATGTTGATAATTTTAGATCATTTTATTTCCTTTTTGAAAGCTGTAATAAATGGTCTTGTTTTTCAAAAAGGTAACCGCAACACAAACTCCTTTAAAATGAAGGCAGACAAATAAAACTACATTTTGTAGGTTTTAAAAAAAGAATCAATAATTCTCCTAGTTAACATACAGAGACAAATTGTAAGAACAATATATTTTATTGAAAACAATAAAATACATTTTATTGAAAACAATAAAATAAACTACAGAAAACAAAACAAAAAAAAAAAAAAGAAGAAGGTATCCTGGTAATCAGTCCATTAGGGAGGTCAGACTCCTCCCACACACACACAGAGCTGCTGCTGGTTAAAACACTTTAGGTGAAGAGCCGGATGGTGGCGTCAGCTCCTGAGGAAAAGACCCACGGCTGAGTGGGGTGAAAGATCACGTCCAGAACACCAAGATCGTGGGTGATCACATGACCTCTGAGAACTTTTACAGGTACTATCAGCGGGTTCTGAAGCAGGTCGCTGGAAGAGACGGCGGCAAGTTTTAATATCCTGTCTTTTATAAGTCTTGTTATGAATAGATATTCAGGGTGTGTTTGTGGTCTTACTTGTAAACAGTCCCGTGACAGACGATCACTGATCCATCATCAGACGCCGAGGCAAACAGAGGGTAACCTCTGTGATAGGCCACACCCCTCACTGCTTTCTTATGGTGTCTGAAGGAAAGAAGTGATCAAAAAGCTTTATTAGAACTGGCACAATGACAAAGACTACTGATGGACTCTTAGGAGCGTACCGCAGCATTTTGTAAGGTTTGGTTGAGAGATCAAGGTCAAACCAGCTCATCCTGCAGTCGTAGCTCCCACAGATCACATGATCACCTGCAGGTAAGTCAGACAGGTGAAACCAAAGCTCTTCTATAGAACTATCTTTAACGTTTACACTGAGGCGGTGCCGTTGTGACCTACTGACCTCCAGGATGGACTGCTATACTGGAGATCCACTTGGAGTTGGCTTGTAGTTTTTTGGTCATTTCCTGTTTGACTAGGTTGTAGATCCTCACACAACGCTGAGTGGCTACAAAGAAGTAGGGCCTGATGGGGTGGAAGGACACGCACTGGACAAGACCTTTACTCTTCCTGAAGGGATTCTGGCTCCGTCTCTTGCTCACCTGGTGGATGAACACCTGCAGGTGGCTTGAGTGTTCAGGCATCACAGATGCCAGGTAGTCTCCTTTAGCATGCCACGTCACCTGGTGGACAACCTGTGGGGACGCGCGCTGACCAGTTAGTTCCCACCAGACAAAACCCAGAATTATTTAGAGGACAGTCTCACTTTGGGGTGCTTGATCTTGAGACGGATCCCCTGATTTAGCTCCTCCCCCTCAGTTTCTGACCAGACCACAGGGTCTGCTCCATCTGAAGGCCCCTCTTCCTGCTGACCAGTAAGAAACTTCTCTGATGATGAAATTACCAGTTTGTCTGCCAGAGCAGGAGACAGGATCAAGACGGTGGACTCCCTAAAAAAACAGAAATAAATAAATAAATAAAAAGGATGCATGTAACAGATTGATCTGCAAAACAGACAGAAAACCAGATCCTTACACAGCAACAGCCAGGAGACACAGAGACGGGTTTGGGTTCCATGCAACGCTCTTTACAGCTCCGCCCACCTGGATTGTCTTCATGCAACGGGACGAGCACACCTCCCACAACCTGACGGAGCAGTCATCGCTACCTGCAGACACGTTACAATGCCCACCTCAGTAACCAGACAGACCCTCGTTCCCAGGGTTTACAAGTACCGTATTTTCACGACCATAAGGCGCACCTAAGAGTCTTAAATTTTCTCCAAAATGTACGCCGCGCCCTGTGGTGCGGTGCGCCTATTGTGTTGTTGTAAGACGCGAACGTAGTAGAAGACAAGGGGCATGACGTGAACCTGCGGACGTGAGCGAAGACAGACCTGTGGATCTGCCACATCGTCATCAACATCCTCGCTATTTGCCTCAGACTCCGGCTGTGAGTCTCCGCCCACTTCCTCTGCTTCCAGTTTAAAAAACAGCCGTACTATCTGAACTGCCGGGTGGACATGTATCCTTCTCATCATCCTTTATAGAAGCCTAATAAAAGCCGACTAAACTGTAGAGACAATAAATCTGTCCAGATCGCTCCAAAATATGACGTTAACCATCAATATCTGTCTAAATGTTTGTTGTTACTCCGCTCGCGCCACTCCTTTCCCCGCGAAGCGGCTCCTTTTTGCGCACGTCTCGTTACTCGTGCGGCCTTCCTCTCTCTCTCAGCTACATAATGATGCTTTTTATCAGCTGAATATGTGAGACTTCCACCAACAGCAAAAGGATCTCATGTTTTTGTGTGTTCTTTATGTTCACAAGCACATTCCCTCTCACGGATTACTAAACTGCTGTTTTGACAAGTTATCAGATTGTCTAAAAATAGGTCGTTTTTTAGTTTAGTATAACTCCGCTTTTACGTTGCCTATTAACACAATTTAAAAACTGGGGTGTAGTTTATAATCTCCTTTTTAAAACTGAATTGAAACAGAAACTCGGGGGAGGCGGAGCCTTGCTGCTACAGCGTCCCAAATCAGACCTGATCTAAAGACGCATATACGCGTCCACAGACCCCAGAGGGTTAATAAAACACAATTCAAATCACACTATTTTCTTAGGCCTATTAATAACACACATATGATTTTGTTCGTGTGGAAAGTTCATGTGGTTAAATCCACCAACTACCGGTAAACACATTCTGAACTTCAACGCAGCGCATCGGCGCTTGAAGCGGCGCTGCGAACCAAAAAGTATCAGAACCGCTCACGGCGCAATCATGCATCAACACCGCTCGCCCGCTATTTCCCTAATAACACACGCTGTTCGTTTTTATTTCTACGTTTTTTTTATTCACAAAGATTGTCAAGAAGAAAGCGTGTTCATGTCAAATTAAACTGATCACAAAACACAGATTTACTTTCTTTATTTCGTTTTCCTCATCCAACCCCCACAAATCCCCGTGTGTCCTCCTGCAGCGCTCCCGGTGTACGCCCGGCTTTAGTAGGAGGGAGACCCGCGATTATCGCTTTGTCTCATTGAAAATGGAGGAGAGGCGGAGTTGCCTCCTGTGTGTCGAGCCCATTAGAAGAGCACGAGCCGTCAGCGCACGCAATGAGGAAGTGCACGTGCGCTCTAAACCAGGTCTGAACCAGGACTAGAGCAGTAAAGTGAAGCATGTTTTGGCCGTTTATAATTTTCACAATGTCTGGTTTGCACCGATATGTTCCGAGTCCCGAGTCTGCACAGATGTTTTACCGGTACGTTTTACCGTGCCCCCGCCTGCGCCCTATGGTCGTGAAAACACGGTAGGTGAATTATATCTCAATAATGGAGCTTCAACAATCAGCTGAACCTAAATATTCAGTACAGCTGATGAGAGAACATCTGCAGGAGACCCCAGATGTTAATTCTTACTAACGAGGCCATGGTGATCTTTTAAATATTAAGTATTTAGTCACATAAACATAAATAAAAAGAAAAAGAAAAAGTCCTGGAAGGGAGCCGTCAAAAACATTTGATAGATTTGTATTTTCATTCATTTGTGAATCAACAGCTGTGATAAATATTCTCTCCTGGGATAAATTTAAATGACAACAGACAGGAGATGAGAGTTTTCACCTGAAGCGAGCCACTGTCCTGATGGAGACACACTAATGGAGCGAACCAGACTGCTGTGACCTCGATACACCTGAGCACAGGAAGATAAAAGGTACAGAGGCAACAGACGGCTAAGTTTGACTTCATCTGACCTTTAGGAGAGTTTTTATGCATCTGTGTTTATTCTACCAGGGACTGGGTTGTTGGAAACGGCTGCAGGTCCTTTGGTTTGGGAAGTTTAGGAATCAGATCTTCTGGATTCACATTTACCTGCAGGCAGACAGAAATTCAGTTCCGTCATAGCGTTACATCATCAGCCCCCCCCCCCCCCCCCCCCCCCCCCCCCAACGGGCCGTTACCCTCATCTTCCTCTGGCGGGGACACAGGTAAAGGTCGAGGCAGCGCTCAAACCTCTCATGGATGAACCGAGAAAATGCCGGAACCTGACGAAGACTCGAGTACTTGTTTGGAATAAATGGCAGCTTCCTGTCTGATGGGTCCTGCTGCTCCCATAGAGCTTTCTGTGGAGAGTGAGACGGGTTAGACCGAAGCAATCAAGCACCAACAAGAAGAGCAGCCGGCTGACAGACCTCCTCGTCCGTGAACAGGTACTCTGGTGGGGGGTTGTAGGACTCCTCGTGACCAGGTAGAGGGATTTTAGGAGCAGGAAGGTGCATCCTGTGTTTGGCTAGAATAGAAGAGTCCTCGCTGGCCCAGAGGTCATAGAAACGACCTTTACTGTCGTCTTCCACCCGCCGAGGTTTGATCCAGCCCATTTTGATAGCGTGCACCAGTTTAGAGACCTGTGGACAGGTGTGACAGACAGTTAAACATCAGGCAGGTGGAGGTGGGTGGACCTGATGAAGACATTCTTTTACCTTCTCCTTCTCTATCAGTGAAGGGATGAAGCTGCGTTTGTCTGCAGGTCTGTTTGTGACTGGATGAATCATGACCTCGTTACTGAAGAATTCCACCATAGGCTGGGGAAGAAAAAAAAAACCTGGTTTCACTGATTCTGCTGATATATTTACTGGCTTTCTCTTTAAACACCAAGTTTCACCTCATGTTCGTTGAAGTGAACGTCGCCAAACTGTCCTTTCTGCAGACGATTCACCAGCTCTATCTGCTCGTCTGAAAGCACGATGTCGCTCGCCGTCTTCTTATCGTGGACAGTTCTCCTGTAGACATTTTCATGTTCACGTTAGCATGCGGTGTTTAAATGTGTGGATTATGATGCATTATGTTAGCCTGGTCACCAATATTCAGGATTCTCCATTTTGTCCAAGAACTCGTCAAGCTCATCCTTGTTCCTGATTGGCTTAAAGATCTTCCTCCCATCCAGATCGTAGCCAATGTGAGGGAAGTCTTTGTACCACTCCATGGGAATGTTCCCCACAGTGTTCCTGATATCCTACAGAACAGTCACAACTGGTACGTTAGTACTTCTTTTAAACGGTAGAGAAATACTATTTTTACAATACTGCACAAAAAACAGACGTTTTAAAGATGATTTTGTCCCACCTCCTCATCTGAGCTGTCATGCTCGTACTCATTTTCTTTCTTTACGTCCTTTTCTTCAGTCTCTTCTTTCTTTTTGCTCTTTTTTACTGTTTTCTGCAGAGGCCAAAATACGAGAGACTAAATGTTGATCAGAGGGAAAACAAGCAGCAAGCCATCTGATTCGTGGGTCCTACCTTCTGACTCTGATCTTCTGCATTCTTATTTGATTCATCATTTTTATCATCATCATCGGCAGCAGAATCATTTTCATCATCATCCTCATCAGATCCCTCCTCCTCATCTTTATCCTCTTCTTCTTCAGAGTCACTCCCAGAATCCTCCAGTCCTGAATACACGCTGTCCACGCTGTCTGATAAATCATCATCATCCTCATCTTCCTTAAACGGTTTGTCGTTCAAGCTGAAGAGCTGAGGTAGAGTAAAACATGTCACACAAGACTCTTGTCTGTAGCCAAAAACCAATAAAATATACAAAACGGGAATTGTTGCTATTTATATATGTTATTCTGTTGGAGAAAGCAAAAAGGACATCATCACAGAGCTGACAATTATTACAGTGATCTAAATAAATCTAGGACAAAAAGGATTCTCAGGTCTGACATTGAACTGTCTGAGTAGGTAATTCTACACTAAAACACGTTACAATGTGATCAGTAGGATCATTTTCTGTTGATGTTTGCCCAGTACTAAAGTTTAAACAACTTCAAATATATTTGCTGTATTAGTTTTTGGATCTGTTAGCAAGAAATACAAAATAAATTAAATAATCTGGAGCAGGAAATATATAAATAAATAAAAAATCAAGGTTTAGCCCTCATCAGGTCAATCTTTACTTGAAACTAGCTGTCAACTCTCCATTCATTAAGTAGCAATTGAAAAAATAAATAAAATAAACAGCATCTCTGTATTAGTAATGACTCTTTGACGGATAATTTGTCAAATGTTTGTCAGAGCATCGACTAGTTCTTTTCCTCAAATAATAACAACTAGAAACTGTCATGGGGTTACAAAGCTCTGCCAAGTGTTGCTAGGATGCCTTGCTAACAGCTAACAGGGAGCTGCTGACCAGTCCACTTCGTCCTCCTCTTCTTCGTGCTCGCTGACAGTGCGCCTCACCTGTTGTTCCTCCTCCTCTTCCTGAAGACTCCGCTTTTTGTCTGTTTTCTCCTTTTTCTTCATCTTTTTTAAGGTCGATTAGCTGCACGTTTTCTTCTCTCTCCTCTACAAAACCACGTGGGAAACTTTCGGGGTCACAGGTTATGAGCGAGGAAACATGCTTGTTTGTTGCTAGCGCCCCCATGTGGTTGAATTTAAAAAGAGAGGGGGTGGGGCAGAGTAAAATGTTGTTGCACGTGATGGTGAAACGTGCAGCTCTGTGTCGCCCTCTCCGGGTGAAAATGTGTATTACGCAAATTCTGTGTAAAAATATGAAATGAAAAGGATAACTACCCATTTAAATTCTTAACATTGAATTAAAGGCAGGATATTAAGCCCACATCTGAAGAAAGTTCTCTCAATGTGGGGTTCTGTTTTGCCTTAGCCCCCGAAATGCCTTAAAACGGCCCTGGGTGTGTGACTGAGTTTTGAAGGTGATCTGAATTGTATCAGATGTATACATATTACATGTGTATAACTTATTGTTTTATACAGGTAAAACATGTAGTGTAGATAAATCTACCTACATTTGACTTTTCAACACGTTGTTTTGTTTTATTGTTTTTATGTGACTATTGTCCTGTCCTGTCTGTCTCTCATCGTCCTTCATCTCCTCTAAATTCTCCAGAAAAACTGCTGCCTGGATTCTTACTTTTTCACATCACAAGTTACTTTTGAACTAAGCAGATCAAAGGGATCTCCTGACCGCAAAGCGTAGTGCGCGTTTCGATGCTGCGTCAGTGAGGTGAAATCACCGCAGCACACGATGAGCGGAGCGCGCCAGGAACGATAAAAAAAAACAGAATACCAGAGGATATAAACAGATATGAATGATCATGTGTAAATAATAATGTTTTGTTGCGCCACCTTGAGCTCGACATTTACTTCAAATAGATAGAATACATTCTTCAAAGGCATTCATCTTAGTGATGTGTCGGTCGCAAACAAACCGGCTCTAAGAGCCGGCTCTTTGAAGTGAACGACGGGAGCCGACTCGTCATTGGGAACCGTCCCCTCCCCCCTCCCCCCTTGCTTTGGTGAAAGCTACAGGTGATTGGTCAACATGTGTAACTGCGTGTCCAGACTGTACACACACAGAGCAGTAGGGGCGGGGAAGAGGGAGGATCAGACTCAGATCATGTCGATGACTCAGACACACAGCAGAGCACATGCGGATGGCGGGAGACGAGAGGAAATGAGGAGTAGGAAAAAGGAGAGCAAGAGAGGAGAGTGCGATGGAGACGGTGAGAAAATGAGCGCCAGCAGTCGGAAAGTGGAGATTTCTTAAAGTGTTCAGTTATTAAATCCATGGAAATGATGAATATTTGATATGTTGCATTTATTTATATTAGTAAATCATTTTACATAAAGTTTTGCATTATTTTGGTTATAAATGTACTCTACGCAACAGAAAATCTGAGGAGCCACTTGGGAGCCGAAAGAGCCGGCTCTTGTTGGTGAGCTGAGCCAAAAGAACCGGCTCTCTAAAAAGAGCCGGAATTCCCATCATTTCATCTACATCTAAAAACAGAAAAATGTTCAAATAAAAATTACTTTCTTTTAGTGCTTACCATATTCAAGTCAAGACAAGCATTCTTCAGTCTCGAGGTAGAGAAAAAAAAACATTGTAAATTGCATAGCTTAATTCTAGCTGTAAAAAAAGCCAACTACTTAAACCTACAGTCTTTATACTAAATCTCGAACCCTTTAATATCATTCACACTTGTACCCAATGAAGGATGATTTATTAATTTTCACATCAATGGGGGAGGTGCACCGTTCCTGGAGATACTGCAATACCAGGTCGATGCGTGGAGTGGACGGAGCAAGCCCCTATTCCATCTCCCTGTTCCAAAAATCAATTTAATATATGGTCCCCGGATAGGGGACGTATCAGATATTAAACTGATAAGAACAGATTTTTTGTTGTTGTTTTTTTCAAAATTTTTATTGACAATTATTAGTTTACAATGCCTTTAAACTTTTACAATAAAAGGAACTATTCAACTAGATGATCTCTGTCATTTGTCTGAAGGCTGTGATCCTTTTAAGTTGCAGTTCTCCATGACCCTCAACCTGGGGGTCCCCAGACTGAGGGGCGGATGGCAGTCATGCCAGCCTCAAAATGTACCCAGATCCTCCTCCACAAACCAAAGACCCTTTTTCCTCTGACCCCACCACTGGGGTGTGGTTTGGGATCCTCCATCTATGCGCTGGAGTGTCAGGGTGTTGCTGCTTCAACCTTTTCTCGTGGACTCCGGCTCCACCATCCGAATGTCACAGAGGCGATTCTTCTTTGTGGCTGTGTCCTTGGCTCGCCGCCCGCAACCCTGACAATGACCTCAGGGCTGCAGCCATCCGGATCACAGCCACGGGGGGGATCTGCATGTGTTTTCTCACCAGCAAGTTTCTGGAGGTCCAAATGGCGTCTTTGATGGCGGCTAGGGTGAGCCTTTCCTCGTCAATGAGTTTTTCTGGTTTTGCCATGCTCTGGCTCACCCCATAGAGCACTAGGTGTGCTGTCAGGACCTCCCTTGCTGGCAAGTACGGGAAGTCCTGGGAGCCGGCTGTTGTCCACAGGTCGATAGCAGCACTGCACTCCCAGAGGAGGTGCCGTACCGTCTCCGGTGCGCCACAGCCGGATCGGGGGCATGCCGCTTTGGCTGCCATTCCTCTGGAGTGCATAACATCCCTGACGGGGAGGATCCCATGTGCCACTTGCCATGACAGGTCCATCAGTCTGTTTGGGAGACCAGGGCGGCTGATGCCTTTCCACACCGCCTCCCCACCTGCAAGTCCCGCAACAGGAATCGGGTCACTTCGAGCCTGTACAACAGAAGTTAAAAGACGCTGGTTTAAAAGAGTGTCCTTACTTTCATTTTCCAGATTAAAATGTGTTAAAAATGTCTTGATGACCTCGTAAGCAGGTGGCAACTGAAAGGCTACAGGTACTCTCAAATTACTTGGCATCAGTTTTAATTTACGGAGGTATGAACCCATACAATAGTAAGACATTGCACGTGTCTTTACACCGCCCTGTTCAGTCATTACTTGTCGCATGTGGGTGCAGGTGTAATGTGCTCCCAGACACAAATATAGGTCTGGAACCCCCATGCCTCCTTTTCCTTTGGGTTTCTTCATTTCTTCTCTCTTCAGTCTCTCCCACTTGGATCCCCATAAAAACTGGAAGATTGTCCTCTCAAGACTTCTTATCGTTTTCCTAGATGGTAAAAACACACTTGCTGCCAGTAAAAACAAAGGGATTATCACAGCTTTTATTATCAGCACTTTTCCGTTCAGGGTTAGGTCTCTTTGTTTCCACAGGCCTGTTCTCTGTCTCACTTTTGCTGATATTTCTGTCCAATTTACCTCACCTTTACCTTCTTTATCAAATTTAATCCCTAGTATCTTTTGTTCATTTGAGTTTACTTTTGCCTGTGTTCTTTCACTTGCTGTCCATGGTCCATACAGCTGTAGTTGTGTTTTGTTCTCATTTAGTTTGGCCCCAGATGCTTTCTCATACTGCTCAGTTAGTATAAAAGCTCTGTTTATAGATGACATGTCAGTACACACGATATTAATATCATCCATATATAAAACACATTTTAGGTCTTGACCTCCACTGGCTGGTATCCTTTGTCCTGTAATCCATTTATCTTTTCTTATCATTTGTGCTAATGGCTCAATGTATATTACATACAAAATGGCTGACAGCGGGCACCCTTGTCTCACACCTGACCTGATCGGTATTTTTTTTGTTAGATGTCCATTTAGCAGACATTTACTGTACACATTACTATATATTAGCTTTATCCAGTGTTTGAATCTTTCAGGTGGACCTATTTTCTCCAGTAACTCAAACAAAAACACACTTCATCTACATCTAAAGAACAGAAAAATGTTCAAATAAAAATTCTTTAGTGCGTACCATTTTCAAGTCAAGACAAGCATTCTTCAGTCTCGAGGTAGAGAAAAAAAACATTGTAATTAGCATAGCTTAATTCTAGCTGTAAAAAAAGCCAACTACTTAAACCTACAGTCTTTATAATGCTATGTCTCGAATAGTGATGTGTCGGTCGCGAACGAACCGGCTCTAAGAGCCGGCTCTTTGAAGTGAACGACGGGAGCCGGCTCGTCATTGGGAGCCCCCCCCCCCCCCCCGCCTTGGTGAACGCCACAGGTTATTGGTCAACATGCGTAACTGTGTGTCCAGACTGTCTACACAGAGCCGTAGGAACGGGGAAGAGGGAGGATCAGACTCAGACAGACACACAGCAGAGCACATGTGGGAGGAGGGAGACAAGAGGGAATGAGGAGGAGGAAACAGGCGAGCGAGAGGGAGGAGACTTCGATGAAGACGGTGAGAAAATGAGCACCAGCAGTCAGAAAGTGGAGATTTCTTAAAGTGTTCAGTTATTAAATCCATAGAAATGATAAACATTTGATATATTGCTTTTTTTACATTAGTAAATTATCTTACATATAGTTTAGCATTATTTTGGTTATAAATGTGCTCTACGCAACAGAAAATCTTAGGAGCCACTTGGGAGCCGAAAGAGCCGGCTCTTTTTGGTGAGCTGAGCCAAAAGAACCGGCTCTCTAAAAAGAGCCGGAATTCCCATCACTAGTCTGGAACCCTTTAACATTATTCACGATTGTACCCAACGAAGGATGAATTCTTGATTTTCACAGACATGGGGGAGGTGCACCGTTCCTGGAGGTACTGCAATACCAGGTAGATGCGTGGAGTGGACGGAGCAAGCCCCTATTCCATCTCCCTGTTCCAAAAATCAATTTAATATATGGTCCCCGGATAGGGGACGTATCAGATATTAAACTGATAAGAACAGATACTACACTTGATCTTAGCCAAAAGGCCGAGAAGCGATACCCTACAACTGTCTGAGGATACCAAGTCATTTTGCTCACTGTCATTTTGACTTGCGGTTCCGAAAATAACATTATTTCCAATGGCACACCGCAAACAGAGACCATTTATTTAATTGACCCAATGTGTAACTCCGATGTTGGGTGGCTATAAATTAGATAAAATTGAAGTTAAGTGAAAAAACAGCGGCGTTGCTTCCGGGTCACGTGCGTCATATAGGTCCAATAACAAACAAAGAGACCTAAATGCTTACAAAAATCGACATTCTTCACATTTTCTTTAACGCAAATCTCTAACCTTGCGTAAACACATATTTACTATATTTTATGCTATCTTTGAAATGAAATTAAACGGTACGGTTGAGTTATATGCTGCATTACGAAACAGACTTAAGCAGCGACCTCTGGTGGAGAGGAGAGAAAACTGCAATACATCATGTAAAAAGTAAATGGGGGGAAACACGTTTTAGTTTAGTAGACCGAGGTAAATTACGAAAAGCAATAAAAACATACACATTCAGAAATTAAACTGTGTCTAAAAAATTAGGTCTGGATTTTACTTATCAGGCCAACATTCCTCGCCTATTTTGTTTGTTGCTGCTGCCATTAAAAAAAAAATTAGCGTGCAAGAAGTTATGTTAAAACTTGAATGTAGCCTACCTCAACTCGATATGGGGACGCCCCCAGTCAGTAAACCTAATTAAACTGATTTAGCCACTTACTTCTTGTTTGCTGCTTCTGGTTACATTGTTCAGACCTTTAAAAAACGCATATTTATTTTAAATATTGAGTATATATTAGTCCCTCACCTGCAACCGTAGCCTGCACAAGGCCTCACCTCACCTGCAGACTCCCAGGCGCCACAACAAAGCTACATTCATACCTCATCGTTGAAATTTTCAAAAACAACACAGAAAATAAAAGTTAACCCTACAGTACGAAAAGTGAAAGTCGACATAAACTTACGATATGTCGTGGTCTTCAAATGCAGTCTGTCGAAATTAACGAAGTCCGTCATTATGCGCATGCGCATGTTTAATGATTTTTTTTTCTTCCCAAATGGTAAACGAGATTCTCTAACAAGGGGGGGATGGGGGGTGGGGGTGTGTGTGTGGGGGGGGGGGGGGGGGGGGATAAAAAACATTCCTTTAACAAAATAAAAGTCACACTACTTATTCAATTCACTTTGATCTAATTATTTTACATTCATGTGAGCTAAATAATCACATTAATACTTTAATTATGAGGTCGAAATACAACCATTTTGATACAATTGTCAGTTTAATTGAGAAACGTTTCTCATCTATTTCAGGTTTAATTTAGCTACCGGTAAGTCTTTTTTGATTATTTGCTAAAACAACACTGGTTCAAAAAATGTTACATTTCTGTAATGCACTCAAGGCCGGATTAATCATATGGGCAACTGGGCAATTGCCCAGGGGCCCATGAACCCTAAAGGGCCCAGGCCCAGGGCAGCAAGGTCACGAGCAAAACACTGTATCTGTAATCTCCCGCTTTATATTAAACTAGGGTGGCCATACGTCCACTTTTCACTCTCTGTCCGGGTATCCGGGGGGTTCTTGTATTGATGAAAATGTCCGGTTTTTCATCCAAGAGCAGGGATCAAATCATGGGGGAGCTGGATATCCTACACATCCAGGGGAGCCGGAAAAACGTTTTCTACCTATATTACATCATTCATGGACTCTTTTGAGCGGAGAGCGGCAGAGTGATGTTTGTTGGTGCGCAGCGCTCCAGGCTGCTGCGTCCAGCGCACGGTCCATTCTCAATGTGGTGCAACCAAAAACTATAATTAACACACGATCGTTCATGTCCGCACATGTTCTCTACTTTTTGTCTTATTTGTGCCTGAAGCGCTCTGCTACTGCGGAGCTCATCACCTGTGCTGCGGTGATTTCACCTCACTGATGCAGCATCAAAACGCACTCTCCACTTTGCGGTCAGGAGATCCCTTTAATCTGCTCAAAAGTAACTGATGAGGTGAAAAAGTAAGAATCCAGGCAACAGTTTTTCTGGACACTTTAGAGGAGATGCAGGAAGATGAGAGACAGGACAGGAAATAGTTAAATAAAAACAAGAAAACAAAACAAAGTGTTGAAAAGTAAAATGTAGGTAAATTTATCTAAACTACATGTTTTTTCCTAAAACAATAAGTTATACACATGTAATATGTATACATCTGATACAATTCAGATCACCTTCAAAACAGTCACACACCCAGGGCTGTTTCAAGGCATTTTGGGGGCCAAGGCAAAACAGAACACTTAATAATGTCACGTTAAGGAGCAGGAGGTTAGGACCCAAGATGTAGAACCCAGGATGACAAGAGGCTGGAGTGGATATGCAAGTAAAAGTCCTTTATTTGGAGGAAGAACAAAAATAAATCCAAACTGCAGGGAGCCAAAATCCAAAAATCCAGGGAGTCAAAAAACACAAGAGGGACGAGCAGACTGACAGAACAAATAACGCTGACAAACAACAATGGACCGACAAGAACAATGAGACAAGGAGGGCTAATATAGACAGGGAGGAGCAATTAGGGAAACAGGAAGCAGGTGTGTGGAGTGAGGCTGGAGGGAAGGCAGGTGACAGCAATTATCTGGATGGGGAAGAGAACCAGTGGAGGGCAGATAAACCTAACACTATATAAAACACAAAACTAAACCTAAAGACTAAGGGAAGAACTCACACAAACACATACACATACTGACTCACACAAACTATGAACTGGGGAACAAGAGGCTGTGGCTATAACTTAAGACACACAACAGAGATGCAGACAAAGGACACATGAGGGCGCTAAGAGAACACAAAAGGGAATCCAGAGAGGGATGGAGAAACATTAGGAGACACATGGGGAAAGACACAGACAAAGGACACATGAGGGCGCCATGAAACACAAAAGGAGAACCTGGAGTGGGAACTGGAGGGCTGGGGAACAATGGGACACAGAACATGACAAATAATTCTTATTAAACACTTTGGTCTTTACATAACTGAATGTACCAACAACAAAATCACACAAACATTATCAACAGAAATCAAATTTATCAACCCACGGCGGTCTGGCTTTGGAGTCACACTCAAAATTTACGTGGAAAAACACAACAAAGGCTGATCCAACTTTCATGGAATCACCTTAGAACTAGTCAAAATGAGGCTCAGTATTGTGTGTGACCTCCATGTGCCTGTGTGACTTCACTACAACGCCTGGGCACGCTCCTGATGAGGAGGTAGATGGTCTCCTGAGGGATCTCCTCCCAGACTTCCTAAGTGACTATGACGATGGATGGATGGCTAGATGGATGGATGGATGGATGGATGGACGGACGGAAGGATATACAAGCACATCAAGGATAATGCCCCAGCAGATGACATGCTCAGTGGATGTCTCAGACAATGGCAAACAGACGAGGAGACGCTGGAAATACCATCATGGGACGACAAACCCCTTCATGAGATGTACCACTGACCGATCACTGAAGTGGCTGATGTCAAGAAATCCTACCAATGGTTAGAAAGTGCTGGTCTGAAGGACAGAACAGGCACTCATCATGGATGTACAGGAAGAGGCCCTGAGCACCAGAGCAACAAAGGCCAATATCTTCCACATCAGACAAGACCCAAGGTGTAGGCTATGCAAAGAGGTCCCTGAAACAGTCCACTACATAACTGCGGGGTGTACGATGCTGGCAGGGAACGAATGCATTAAACACGAAAGATTTAAGTGAAAGCAGCTTTAAATAAATGTGTCTTCAGCTGTTTTGGTGACCAGACTGTGAATACAACGCAAGGATAAAGGAAGTTCATTCCAAAGTCATGGTGCAACCACCTGGAAAGAGCAATCACCTCAACTTTTATATTCTGTCTTGTCTCTCTATGCAGGTTACCGCTGGGCACAGGTGTAGATTCTCACCTAAAGGCTCACACTCATCAGGTGGGAGGTTAAAGAAGCCAGTCATTCTCTGCAAGATTAACCCCAGTGGACTGGCAACCTGCAGCCTCCTTTAGTTGAGTTGTTCATCCTTGAAATATTACTCACCTGTTGAACTTCTCCAGGTGTGTTTGCCAAAGACTCCCCCAGGTTCCTCTTTGTCCCCCACTCTTCAGCTTTCTTCAGCCTCGATGATGTGTACTGCAAACCTCCT